GCATCAAATCTATTCTTTAGATTGTCTCTAAATTCAGGAGGGATATATTCAAGATCATATTTTGGCTCTTGTGGACTTTTTTAAATTGTCTTCAACTTCACCTTGAATTTGTATATGAGCAGTTGATGGTCTGTCCCACAGTCAGCTCCTGGTCGTTTTGGCTGAAGATATTGACTTCTTCATTGCCTCTTGCCACAGATGTAGTCAATCTGATTCCTGTATACTCCATCTTGTGAAGTTCATGAGTATGAAAGTGCTTAGGAATGTAGAAAATGAAGCAATTAAGTCTAAGATGGATCTGGAAAAGGTTCTAAGAAAAGATGGAACTCAAGTAGGACTTTGAAAACTTTTGACAAGTAAAGACAGAAAGAAACAGTGCTTTAAACAGAGTAAGTAAAGATATAGGTGTGGGAATACAGAGTAGATACTCAGTATAGTAGGAATAATGATTTTGTGCACCACTGATTCTGACTCAGCAAGTTTATAGGACAGGGAAGAACTGCTCCATAGGGTTTCCTAGTGTAAAATCTTTGTGGTAGCAGACTATCAGAGCCTCTAGTGGGTTTGAACTGCTAACTTTTGGTTAGCAGCTGAATGTTTAACTATTGTGCCACAAGGGCTCCTTTGTAGGTGGCTTAAAAGAAGTAGGCTATCAAAGATGATATCAGAAACATTGGTGACAGATCTAAAAGAGCCTTTTATCCCAAGGAATCTGGTATTTATTCTATAGGTTATGGGAAGCAACCAAGTTGAATAGAGGAGAAAAATGATCAGAACTGTATTTTAGAAAGCAACTTTGGCAGTCATGGAAAAAAAGACTGGAAACAGGGGAAATCAGAGACATCCAAATCAGTTAGGAGGCTACATTCCACCAAAGTATAGGAGAGAGGCATGCCCTCCAAGTAAGGTAGTACCTGTGAGAATGAAGAGAAGGGGAAAGAGGGGTGAACATCAGAAAAGGAAGTCATTAGAACTGGAGACTTACTAGACCTGAAGATATGTATAAAGAGATAGTGGTGTCAGAAAATGAGATGGGCAACTCTGGAGGAGAATGAGGAAGATAATGAATTCTTTTCAAACATGGTGAGCTTAACATAGAGAAGGATGGTAGTAACAATTTACTAGTTTTCATCATAAACCTAGTTAAATACTGTTTGACTTTTTAATTTATATAATCTGATTAACAGAAAAATCAAAGGAAAAGAAGTCAGGGTTCATATCCTAAATTGGATGTTAATAATATGGCATCATTATTTTGAATAAAATATTTTGATTTTTCAAGTAGTACATTTCCACATTAAAATCCAAGGAAATGATAAATTTTAGTATATCCATACGATGGAATACTATTCAGAAACGGAAAGGGATGAACTATTGATACAGGCAACAACATGTATGACTTTCAAAATAATTATGCTAATAAAATAAGTCAGACAAAAAGAGACCATACTGTATAATTACATTTTTATAAAACTCAAACTCACTGCCATCGAGTCGTTTGCAACTCATAGTGACCCCTCCTTGGGTTTCCGAGGCAGTATCACTACAGAAGTATATTGCCCAATCTTCCTTCCTCTGAGTGGCTGGTAGGTTTGAACCGTCAGCTTCTGGTTAGCAGTCAAATGCCTTAGACACTATGCCACCTGTAAAATCATCTATAGTAATAGTAGCAGATAAGTGGTTATGAGGAGTAAAGGGAGAAGTAAAAACTTTTGGGCAAGACAGATGTAGTCATTATGCCAAAACTTAACAAAATGTACATTTTAAATATGTGCCGTTTATTGTAAGTCAACTTTAATAAAACGGTTAAAAAATCCCAGAAAAAAAAATTTTAAGGACATATTTCCCCTCTTCTCTAGTAATTCTTCTTGTTTTAGGTAGAAGTTTCTTAGCTTTTTATCACTAAAAACTCTTAAGCAAGGACACGTGGCATTATTATAAGTAAAAGTATGATTTCCATTATGTCAATAAAGAAAACAGTCAATAGTTCCCTCATCTCACACTACATACCAGTATAATCTCAGAGGCTTCCCTCAAGGACCTGCCAATGTGCCAGGTTAAGAAGTTCTGTAGTAATCTAAAACATTCCCCTTCTATAACAAGACTAAAACAAAACTATCAAAAGAATTTCATAAGAATGTACCCTAAAGTAGCTTTATTTCAAAAATGATAAAATTTATTCATCCTGTATTGAAAGTCACATGCAGTTCAAACTGGTTTGTAGTTACAAAGCACGTATGAAACAATGATAATGTCCAAAAAGTGCATGCAGATGATTAACCAGAACCCTGCAAGTTTAGAATATTTTACAGGGATACCTCAGAGATACTGCAGATTTCGTTGCAGACCATCACAAAAAAGCAAGTCATACGATTTTTTTGGTTTTCTAATGCATATAAAAGTTATGTTTACACTATACTGTAGGCTATTAAGTGTGCAACAGCATTATGAAAAAGTTTGAAACATTGTGAGAATTACCAAAATGTGACAGAGAGACATGAAGTGAGCACATGCTGGTGGAAAAATGGGACTGATAAAGACTTGCTTGACACAGGGTTGCCATAAGCCTTCAATTTGTATGAACCACAGTATCTGTGAATCGTAATAAAATGACGTATGTTTGTACAGTACCTCAGTATGTAGTATAACTACATTAATAACATTCATATGGGGGAGTGAAAAAAGGAGCTCTGCTGGTATAGTGCCTAAGGCATTTGACTGCTAACCAGAAGGTTAGTGGTTCAAATCCACCAACTGCTCTGTGGAAGGAAGATGGGGCAATATACTTCTGTAAAGATTTACACCTCAGAAACCCAATTGGGATTGCTATGACTCAGAATCTACTCGATGGCAGTGAGCTATGGGGTATGAAAAACAATGGGCAACTGCATTTATTTATTTTGGTGAGAAAGATTAGGTTTACAACGGCTGTGATCAAAGAGTGGTCCTGTCCTGACTGGGAAGGCGTCCTTTTACACTGCTGATTCTGCATTCCATAGAGGTAGTCACCTAATACCCAAGGGGGAGTCTATTGGGAAGCTCCGCAAACATACTCATGACCTATACATTAATAAGAAACAGACATAAAATCTGAATCCTAACAGACTCTAAACATAGAGCAGCATACGCTCCACAATAAAGATTCTCAGTACTTATTAGGAGGATTAAGACACTAGAATTTTTGGAGTGTGAGTTTTCTGATGTGTAAAGCTTAATGGTAATTTATATATATATATGTAGCCAAGCCCACTGCCGTCAAGTTGGAACTGACTCATAGCAACCCCTCCTTGGGTTGCCGAGGCAGTATCACTACGGAAGTAGGATTGCCCAACCTTCCCTCCAAGGAGTGGCTGGTGGGTTTGAACCTCCAGCCTTCTGGTTAGCAGTCACATGCCTTAGGCACTGTGCCACCAGAGCTTATA